CTTCCCAGCACATCTTTCTCTTGTCTTGTGTCCTGATCCAGAAGCATGCTCACATAATATAATTACTGGAGAGTGCAGTTGCTGTATTTGTAGTTATTTCCTTAGTGCACATTAAAATCTAGTACATTTAGAAGTGTGTAGTCAAATTTGGACAGGCTGTGACAGAAGCAAAAAGAAAATATTCCTGACAGAGCAATATCCTGTAAAATTTCTTTGATGTTGACCAAGGCCTGAAATGACAGTTTCTCAGTTAACCAAATACAAGCATTACCTGGCATGGGTAAAATGGTGCAATGGTTTGTCTGGGATTTTTTTCCCCCCAAGATTCCTTTCCAGAAATATCTGAGGTTTTTGAGCATTTTTCCATGTTGAAGGGTTCTAGAGAAAATTTATTTGAGCCAGAAATATATTGCATATACGTGTTTCAGCTTGACTGATTGAAATTAAGTAAACTACTGATAAACCATTTTGAAAAGCCCCTTAATACAGGCACTGCTGTTAGATTAACCTGGAGAATCATGTAGTATCTTCTGAAAGTCCAGAGGTGTGTGATTGCATTGTAAAATTTCAGACTAACATGGGGGTAGAATCTGAGCAGAGTCCACAAATCATTTACAAGAAAAAGAAGCAAAAGGAAATTCTGTATCTTGTATGGCTTAGAGCATGTAGCGCTATGGCCGGGTCTGGTTGAGGTTCATGCAAGTGCAAGGACACGGAGTAAGGACGAAAGAACAAGAAATACAGGTTTCACTACACATATGGATGTTAATTTTCAAAATTCATTATAAAATAAATAAGTATTAAATTATGTGTTAGAGGTAATATGAAATCCAATGGGAAACAGTATTCAGGTCACTGCCAGCACAATGCCACGTTAAAATACACACCTTGGAAAAGAGTAATAGCAGTCAAGGCAACATGGTTGGAATTATTGTGATTTAATGTAGGAGAGGAATGGCATTTGAGCTTTGGAGTTGACTGACCTTCCTGTGATTAACAGTATAATCCTACTGTCCTTTTGACATTAATATTCATAGAAGTTGCTTTATGTGGTTGATTACTGTGTATTCTCTGTATGATGATTGTAGTTTTGTTGTCATATCATAATGTCTTCAGTTAATACCAGTTCTAGATTACCTTTAGGGAGGATTATTAAAGAGGTTTTTGGCTTGGGTAATCCATAATATTTATTCTGGTTCTTCAAATCTAAAGTGATTAAAACAATTTTACGTTGAGCAACCTTCTGACTAACTAGTGGAGAGCATTCCTCAATCAACTGTCTTGACTCTTGGCTGAAAGATGAAAATATATTGTTGTAAGGTGATTTTTGTTTTTCTTTCTTTCCTTTCAGGCAATTGTACTTTGTTTTCGATTACACTTCACAAAAGATAATATCACAAATAACACTGCGGCAGCTACAGTGCGGCAGGTAGTTACTGTTGTATTTGAGAGAGTGGTTGCTGAAGATGAGCGATACAAAGGTGGGCGTATTTCTTACTCTGCTTGCTTGTATTAGTCTGGTTTTTTAGGCACACATCAAATGTTTATCTTTTTTCAGATAAAGAAGTAATAAAAAGTCTATAAACATTATTTTAAAAAATCACAGACTTTATTTATTTTTACTGTCTTTTATACATTTACTTGTATTCAAAGTAGATGAAATCCTTTGCCACTGTGTCAGTACTAGTCACTACAGCAATATAGCAAACCTAGGTTTTTTACAAGCTATGAGAACTGGTCTTCAGGTTAGCATAGTGAAGGAATATGAGGTGGGGGTGTCATTTCAGATTAAGGTAACTTGGATTACTGAGTGTGAAATACATGGCAGCAGTAGTTTTGAAGAGAGCATATATTGGAAAGAAGTGCTTCATATTGGTGCTGTTTGGTATTCAATCTAATGTTCATTTCTGTAGACATAAGTTGCAGAAGAATTACCTGGCTATTCTCCTAGAATCTTTTTGTAAGGATACTTAATGCATACTTGATTTTCAACAGTTCCTTTGTTCACAAAACTGGCTTTTGTTTTTATGCAGATATTATTGACCAGCCAGTTGCAGTTCAAGGAAATAGTAACAGAAGATCTGTCAGTACACTGAAGCCATGTGCTAAAGATGCATACATGCTTTTTCAGGTAGTTGGGGAGCATATATTTATACATTTGCAGTTATGATTGGGTGCTTCTACATCTCTGTAAGAAATTTCAAAAATATGCTGCTGGGATATTGATAAGGTCCATAACCAGAGCCTCAGCCTTTCTTATGTGTGCTTATTGTAAGTGACGGTAATACACTCTATCCAAGGAGGATGATTGGAAAACTAAGACAAAGTGGCCTAATAAAATGCTTTATTATAAATCTAAATAGTAGCTAAGCATGCATGTCTGCATTAAATTTGAGATCTTTTTTTCTGTGAGCCAAACACTGCTACTATAGTTCAGTCTTGCTTCTTGTGTTTGGTATTTTATATTAATGTAACTTATGTAATGAAAAGTAGTAGCTGTATTAATCACAACAATAAAAATCTTGACTTAGCAAATTCAGTGGTCTTAAGGTATTTTTGAGGGCAGGAATGAACACAATTGCTACAAGGATACCAGCAAAGTTTAAAATTTCCTTTAAAAAGGTTTTGCTTAATGATTTACATAAAAGTGCAGAAGTATTTGAGGAAAAACTATGTTGAAACTGGAAAATTACTCATTACAGAGGAGAGTCAGTGTAGATTTTGTTGTAGACTCAGAAAACTCTTGCTGGTTCAGGACTGTGCAGAGAATGTAAATATTACTGTATTTCTTTTTAAGGATCTTTGTCAGTTAGTTAATGCTGATGCTCCGTACTGGCTCGTCGGTATGACAGAAATGACCCGGACATTTGGCCTTGAACTTCTTGAGTCAGTCCTCAATGACTTTCCACAAGTGTTTTTACAAGTGAGTAGTTCTTGGAGGGAAAATAGGAAGACTTTTCTTTCATGTGTAGTAAAACTTACACTTAATGAACTCCTCTTTAATTTAGTGTGAGTACTGCATTTCAAAAGGACTTGCAGCTTTTCCATGTTGGATTTTTATGATAGAAAAGCACTGTGTGCTTTTTGTCCACTTTTTGTTTTTTGTTTCCATACACTATTTGTGTTTGTGCAATTTGTAGAGCATGCTGTACTCTGTTTCAGTTTTTGTTTTGCCATTTATATCTCCTCCAAAGATGCATTGTCTTACCTTGCATGATTTGTGACAGCTCTGTAACTTAGTTTGTGGCACTGTTACTTCTACAAAAACATTAACTTAACCCCACTTGCAATGCCATGGGAATCATTACTATGAATTGTGTGGATCTACTATATATAAATGCACCGTGATTCTACAGTAACACATTTTAGCAGACAGTAACTAAGTTTAAAAAAATAAATACATGAGAAATGATGTATTAGCAGCCTATTTGAATTCACAAAATACAAGAAGAGGGGTGCATGGTATGAACCAGGCTGTGTCATTTCATCATGCTTTTTGGTAGCTTTACATTGGTGTCTGCCATTCTACCTTTTCATTTCCTGAGTGTGTAATTTATAGCGGGATCCACATGAGCTCAGAGTGCTTGATCATAATAGTAAATGTAAATAAGATGTATAACCAGAGCCACTGGTAGCAATTAAAGAATATCTGTTTATAATTTGTTCTGTTTTCTTTTTCAGCATCAGGAATTCAGTTTTCTTCTTAAAGAAAGAGTATGCCCTCTTGTTATAAAGCTCTTCTCCCCAAATATCAAGTTTAGGCAAGGTTCCAGCACATCATCTTCCCCAGCACCAGTGGAAAAACCATACTTCCCCATCTGCATGCGTTTGCTGAGAGTAGTTTCTGTTTTGATTAAGCAGTTTTACAGTTTGCTGGTAAGAATATGTTCAAATTTTCTCTATGCAATTCTGTTTTTCTATGTACATGCCAGTACTGTGATCAGTAATAGAATTAATTAGTTCTTGGGAACTGACGTATGCTGAGGGAAGAAAATTCTAAATATTCTTTTCCTCTTATGTGTATTTTTGTTTACATGTATTCTGCATGTATGATTTTATTAAACATGGGCTTGTATAAGTTTTCAGAGTAGATAAGTATTGTCTTTCCTGTACTTGATTACCTTTCAGTTAAGGTTTTGAGAACATTTTGATCTTTTTATGTCGTTTGCCTGGCTTTAGATAATGTAGATTGCTGTGCTTTGTTAGTAATTGCTAAGAGGCTTTTGACTTGTGTTGCTAAAACTATTAACAGAATGTGCATAAAAAACACATGTTCAACTGTTTTTATCTCACCTATTTTAGGTATTTGCTAAAAAGGATTTTTTTCTGTTTCATTTACTTACTGTAATACATATAAGAACTTTACTGCAGTGTCTGTGAGGAATTTCACTCCTTCAGTACAATTGCATATGTGGTGTTAGCTTGGCAAAAATATTATGATTATTGAATAATTTTTTTTATATAACTTTGAGTAAATGCTTGTTGAAGGAGTTTTTTTAGATCCTGTGCACAACTTTCTGGGATGGGACTCCTAAGATGAAACGATTTTTTTAGAGACAATATTTTGTAGGAGACTTTTTCTTTTAATTTAATGACTCTTAACTTAATCTTTTAGGTAACAGAATGTGAAATCTTTCTGTCATTGCTGGTTAAGTTTCTGGATGCAGACAAACCACAGTGGCTAAGAGCTGTTGCAGTAGAATCTATTCACAGGCTTTGTGTGCAGCCTCAGCTATTAAGGTATTAAATATATTAAGCTTTTGTATATTATATATATTAAACTTTTACATTAAGTTAAGAAATATCATTGTTTTTCTTTGGTGGAAAATGCTTCCTAAAACATTACAAATATGTAGAAACTTATATGCAATAAACTCTGCAAGATAATTTTTTATAAAGTGTTAGGCAATGCATATTATCCAGGAAGGGCTGAATTATAGTTATTTGAGTATTCCAAATTCTTAGCTGTCTTACCTGTGTCAAAGGAGCATTTACCTAAAACTAAAGTTCATTATTCACCTAAATATCTGCAGTTAAAATGTGCTTTTAATCTACAGTTGGAGGGGAAGAAGTTGCTGTTAAAATATGCTTTTAGTTCCTAATTTGTCAAATACTTGCTATATTTTGTAAAATACTTTCCAGGTCCTTTTGTCAATCGTATGATATGAAGCAACATTCCACTAAAGTTTTCCGTGATATTGTGAATGCGCTGGGGTCCTTCATCCAGTCACTGTTTCTTGTACCAAGCACAGGGAACACATCAGCGACGCCAAGCCAAACAGGTAAAGCCTTGTCCTTACTATCATTTATTCTTCAGCATTTTCTTGTAATAATAAATTCTGATTTCATTTATTACATACATTCAGCTTGGTGCCATTCTGTACTTCCGTGTTTGTTGAGATGAAAAGCTATTAGCTTGAGACAAACTAGTGTTTTCAGGTCTGGTACAACAGGTGATTTTTATCTACCTGAATTGTGAGGGAGACTTAACCCCCAGTCAGCAGAGCAGTGCTCTTGTGTTTGTATCTGCTTCTACAGTGACCAAGCTCCTTGGTTCACAACTTCTCTGAGGGAAATTGAGGGAATTATTTCTAATTTCTGCCGTGTCTAACACACAAAGAGCGGATCAATGCAACCTGATTTTTGAACTGAGCCTTCTGATTATGGTAGTCCTGTCATAGCAGGCTGTTTTACACACCTGTAGTTGGCTTTTGAGGCTCAGTTTTGCAACAAAGTAGCTATTTTGTAGAAGAAGTTGAAAGCTGCATCCACCTAAGTTTTGTGTCACTTTTATTATACTGGTGTAATGTAAACCTTTTTACCACTTTAAGCAGTTATGTTGATATAAAAATAGTTGTATATATCTGACTGCTCAGTGGGAACACAGAAAATGACACCAGTGTAACTGTCTTTGTGTTAGTGGCAGCATTTGGTTAACCATTTCTGCTTAACAGTATGATTTTGTTGTTTCAATCTGTTAAGCTTTGCTGTCTTAAAGTGTATACATAGGCTTCTGTGTGTATTCATATTGCCTAAATTAGTAATTTAGTCTCTCTACATATTAAAAAAGAGCGCACCAAAATGGCAGCTGTCAAACTGATATATTATGTGCTGTGAGTCACCTTCTTGAGAACTCTGCTTTTCTCTTCCCATTGTCTGGATGGAGAGAGTCTGAACTTGTCGTACCTACTCCTAGTAAGTGTAGACCTCTTTCTGTATGTAGGAAGTATATATTTACACACAGAATTCCTTGTCCTTTTATCTGCTTTTTTATGGCTTCTTAAATTGGAACCACAATTTGTTCCGTCCTAGCTGTTGGTTGGCACCTTGTCAGCTCTTCCCTCACGTGTTTTGTTTTCTTCTACCTTCACATGGAACCTACCTTTCTACCTTTCAGACGTAAATATTGCAGTTCTCTTTGGGTTTCTTCTTGTGCCTTTTGCATTTCCAAAATCTTTAAAGTTTATTATGATCTTTGTTCTTGTAATGATGAACCTCTCTTTCATACTACTGAGTTCTAGATGCAGCTGTTATTTATTGTTCAAATAATCCTTAACTTTTAAATATCTGTCTGACTCTTCACTAGATTATATATTGTTTTATCGAGACCGTGTAAGTTTCATTGGTTCCTAGAATGTTAGGAATGCTGCTGTACTTTTCACAGAAACATTTTATTCTGGCTGGAATAGGGAAAATAGGGCCATTGGCATCAATTAACTGTGCCTTTTAAGCTAATTACTTTGCAAATAAAGTCATGTTTTAGACAGCAGAGGGAGCTCAAAAGTAGTTTTTGTGTTGATGGCAGTTTTTATTACCGAGCAGGGTGTATCAGATTAATCCATGTATTTCCACTTAAAAATTAAATACAGAAAAGGGTTGTTTGCTGATCACTAAAATTAGATTGGTTAATTTTGTCACTTTGTTTTGCTGAACAGGAAGTAATGCATCGGGGAATACTGTCTCAGCACAGACTAACCCAGGAGTGCTTGGAATGGGAGGAGGTGCAACTGTATTACCTGCCTTTGAGTACAGAGGCACTTGGATACCTATCCTGAATGTAACAGTACAAGGCAGTGCTAAAGCTACCTAGTAAGTACCTCTAACTTTTTGAAAGTGTGTATAACAAATATTTATATTTCCAATTTGATGGTTTAAGGATTTTTCAATTACCGAATATTGCAGTCTTCATTTCACTGACATTGAGGTATATTATGGATTTTCTCCTTAACAGTGCCATGAGGTGTTCTGATTTTTTGCTATTTTGGCTGAATGCTCTGAATTCTGATCCAAATATCCCCTATGGCTTTAGCATCTGTTGGTTTTTTTGTTTTTTTTTCCTACCATAATGTTGCTGTATTAACTCTTCACTTTTGGGCCTCCTACAGTATATAATAATTTTAGAATATTTTTTGCTGGGTTTTGTAATGGCAAACATGAGGGGCATTAGGCAAATGGGACATCGGTAGGAGTGAAAAAGAGCTTTCTTACACCAGTATAAAGGTGTCTTTGGTATATTGTAGCTGTCATGCCTAGCCTTTTTAACAGTAGTTTGTAGAGCAAATGATAAATTAGTGGTTGTTGGGGTAGCAGGTAGTTTTTGTAACAGACTGTCTCTCCTTGTGTACACACTGCTGCTATGGCAGCTACAATCTGTTTCCTGTTGGATTTGTAACTCAGCATTTCTTTATGTGCTTTTGAGGTAAAATATGAAGAAAAGTGGCAGTGAGGCTGTGGTTCCAGCATAGCGATGTTTTAATTGCACGGTTTCCAGCAGTGAATAATTTAGATATGTCCTCTTTGTACAAATAACTTCCATTGTTTACCTATACGTGTAGACGATTAATATTTTGTCATATATTATCTAGCTGTCACAGGCCAGCAGGTCAAGGGAGGCATTTCTGCCCCTCTATTCCACTCTTGTGAGGCCCTACCTGGAGTACTGTGTCCAGTTCTGGAGCCCCCAACACAAAAAAGACATGGACCTGTTAGAACGAGTCCAGAAGAGGGTCACAAGGATGATCTAAGGGCTGGAGCACCTCTCCTGTGAGGACAGGCTGAGAGAGCTGGGGCTGTTCAGCCTGGAGAAACTAAGGCTCCAGGGAGATCTCATAGTGGCCTTCCAGTACTTGAAGGGGCCTACAGAAAGGATGAGGGGGAACTTTTTACAAAGGCAGGTAGTGATAGAACAAGAGGTAATGACTTTAAACTGGAAGAGGGTAGATTTAGATTAGATATTAGGAATAAATTCTTTACTGTGAGGGTGGTCAGACACTGGAACAGGTTGCCCAAAGAAGTTGTAGATGCCCCCTCCCTGGAAGTTTTCAAAGCCAGGTAGAACAAGGCTTTAAGCAACCTGGTCTAGTGGAAGGTGGCCCTGCTGATGGCAGGGTGGTTGAAACTAGGTGATCTTCTAGGTCCCTTCCAACCCATACTGTAATATGATTCTGTTTCTATAATGGAATGTATGACTTGTTCTCAATTTGTTATAACTATATTCACACAGTTATAATTTTCTACACCTATTTCCTCTGTTGTTCCTATGCACTTGTGTTCTTCTGAATAGATTCTGTTGGAGTGGCTTTAAGTAAAATAATAAAAGTAGAATAATTCATTCAGTGATGCTTGCTTTTATGTCTTAATTTAAAAAAATATTTATTTGCAGATCTAAATATTGGACTCAGGGTTTGTACACTTTCATTTACTATTTTATTCAAGTGACTAAGTTACTCTTTCACTTAATGACTTAATTAGTCAAGAAGGTTATTTTCTTGTGTTGTTATAAATCTTGAAGGATGGTATTTGGGGCCTGTTTGTTCTTAGCATTCATTTGAAATCTTGGTTTTTATTATTGTTGTTAATCACAGTGGGTACTGTTACACACCTAATTGTCATGCCTTCGATTTTTTTTTTTTAGTTTGGAAATGCTGGACAAAGTAGAGCCACCTACGATTCCTGAAGGCTATGCCATGTCGGTGGCATTTCACTGCTTACTGGATCTTGTCCGTGGTATCACTACCATGATTGAAGGAGAGTTGGGAGAGGCAGAAATAGGCAGTCAAACCACAACAGAGACAACTTCATTGCCAGCACAGTCTTCAGAGCAGCAAGACTTGCAGTCTGTATCTGACCAATCAGAGAAAGAACTAGGTATTTGAAAATGCAAACACTGTATAAAATACAGCAGTTTTACATAAAGCAGCATCGAAATAGTTCATGGCTTTGTTGCTTAAATTTATTGTTTCTAAATCATATGTAAAAACTTTCAATGAAGTGGGTTTTTGCTTTTTTTGTAACAGAACAGCAGTAATCTCAAAAAAAAGAAAAAAAAAGAAAAAAATACTTGATGTACTGCTTCTGTCCTATAGAACCTTAGCCATAGACTCCTTATGGTGTATTAGTACTGTTTTACATGTATGTGTGTGGGATGTGAGGGAGAGATAACAGGCGTTCTTTTCTCCAGAACTACTATTCTGCCTTCATATGTCCTTAATTCTGCTTGACACTGAGATCCAAGGTCACAAGAGACAACCTGACCGAGAGATGTGTGGCAGTTACGACCACATTAAAAGAAAAATGTCTTTCTAGTAACAAGACAAAAAGATGTTTTAATAGAGATTTTAAGGAAGGTGGAAATAGATAGGGAAGAAGAACTTATTTAAAAGCAGAAGTAATAGGAACTGAGATTTGTTTTTGTGCTACATATGAGGAGTTTGTGTATGTACGTACAGAAAGACGTGGCTCTCAGGGGAGGTTTTGGCTGGGGTACCAGAAAGTGGAGCCTGGAGCGCTGGAGTTTGTACCGAGGCCTCAGAGGGAGAGGACAGGAGTGGGAGTGCAGAGCTCTCCGTGGTGCTGCAGGCAACGCTGGCTGGCGTGGGGTGGGGAGGTGTGAGGATGGTACAGGCAGCTTATGAGTTGGTTAGACCAATATTTTTTTTTTTCTTATTAAATTAAAGAAACTAAAAAAAAAATAAATATGGAGAATTTTGAATACCGGGGGGAGTATTTTTCCTTCACTGCAAAATTTCATTGAGTTTATTGTCCCACATTTATGCACTTCTGAATGTTTATTTTTACTGCAAAGATTAAAAGTAACTATATATACACCTTTGTAAGGTTTTTTGGTGAAATTTATATAAGTATTGCCTTGGTGACATTTTTTACTTTAGCAATGTTACTTTAAATGCAACTGTTTAAATGGTAGTGTTGTGAGTGTGTTTGTGTATACACCCATATGTGTCTGTGTAAACATAAGTATAAAAACACACTGTAAGAGAGGCATTAGCAGGCATTTTGTTTGTGATATAATTGTAAGTTATTAAGTAAAATGTTGTGTTTCTGCTATTAACAAGTATATATATTTCTTTCAAGTTAGCAGAGCTGTCTGGGAAGAAATGGTGAATGCTTGTTGGTGTGGTCTTCTGGCTGCTTTATCCCTCCTACTTGATGCAAGGTATTTCATCATTCATTTCACATGATTTTTCTAAGATGACATTCCCAGCTGTACTTTGAATTGACTTCTGATACCAATCAGGTTGACAGTTGTATGACAGCGTGCAGTTCACAGAACCTCAGCAGACAGGTTTGTGGGTTAGTGATGACTAGACTGAATGAGGATCTGTTAAGAGTAAATGACACGGAGATCTCGAGAAGTCTCCTATCATCCTTTATGTATTTCGATACAGACCAATTAATTGCATTTTCAAAGGCTTGCATTTAATCTATTTAAATTATTTTTATTCCTTTTTACTTGGAGTGAATGTTTCAACACTTTGAAGTGATGCTACCCATGTCCTGTTTACTGTTGGTAAGAGACTATAATAATGTCTCGGTACTTGTTAGTACTATGCAGTCTTTGAAGAGGAAAAACTGTTTACTAGGTAATAACTTTGGTATCTTAATGATCTCTTTCAAAGAGTCTTTTGTTATCAAATGCTATTTTCTGAAATTAGAGTTAAATACCTCCTCATAGACTACTTTGTCAGGTCATTCAGAACTAAAGATGAATTTTATAGGAAATTATTCTGAATAATTTTGTTGATTGGCTATGCTTGCTCTTCAGTGTTTATAGTGTTGACATGTTTAAACTGTACGTTCTTCTCGTTTTCAGTTTTGGTTAGCTGTCTGCTTCTGTGCCATGGATTAATTCTTACTAAACGATATGTACTCTTTCAGCACTGATGAAGCTGCCACTGAAAATATTCTAAAAGCAGAATTGACCATGGCTGCACTTTGTGGAAGACTGGGTCTTGTAACGTCAAGAGATGCCTTTATCACTGCCATATGCAAAGGATCCTTGCCTCCTCACTATGCCCTTACAGTATTAAACAGCACAACTGCAGCTCTGTCCAGCAAATGTAAGTATATAGGTTCTCTTTAATTGTGTTTCCATGTGTTGTCCTCTAAACCCAAATTTTCTCGGGGTGTAATTGCAGAGATATGCAACTGTAGTATTTGGCTATACTAAGTCATATTAGAATCCTCAGACAGGATCTAGACTGCCTGTTTCCCAGAACTGGTTAGTGTTGCAGCATCTGCTGGGTATCATTCTAGTCAACCTAAAACTTCCTGAATGCTTAGCATATGTCAGAAGTTGATATTCTAAGGAGATCTGTCTATCATCCTAAAGATCTCTTAGGATATATAATAAAGGCATTCAAATTTTGAAAAGATCTCCAAGCAACTCAGATACATAAGAGCTGGCTACAATATCCTGCATTTGTGGGGTACTACAGTCTTTTCTTCAGTTGTCAAGTGATGGTAGTACTTACTGTGTAAGTAGAAGTTCTTAAGTTCTGGCCTCTCTTCATCTTACAAGAAGTTGAATTAATGCTTCCCAACATCCTGAGAGGATTTTGTAATTCATGGGATATGCCAGTTGAGAATGTACTCGATTTCTAATTTTGAAAATGAATTACTGTTATACCAAGAAATGGTACGACCAAAACTACTGGGAGAATATACAGATGGATCTAACATTAGACCTCTTAATATAAAAAAAACCCCAAAACCCAAACAAAAACTAAAACCAAAAAACCCTTAGTGTGGGAACAAGGCCCAGCACCTCTACTCCAGCCCACAAGCTAGGTGTATTATTAGATACTAAGTCTGTGAAGCAGTATGCATAACTGAGCTACGTGAATCTCTGTGGAAATGAAGCAGTGAACTTAAGTTATTTTATATAGGTTACTCTTCTTTTTACAGGTTAGTTATAAAATGAGTCTCCTGAAGTCCTATATTGGAAAAACATCACAACATAGCATGTATGACACCTTCATTTACTGAGTACACTAGTACATAGTAGGGCACAGTGATACCATTTACACACAATTGCCACAGATAACTGAGTAGAGACATAATCTAAAGCTTATATCTTATAGCAAATATTTCAGTCTTGACATAAAATGTATTAATGTATTGCAAACAATATGTAATAGTTGGTGAGAGGGAGTAATTACTTGCTCCTTTAACTCTGTAAGGCAGTGACGTAATAACCTAAATAAAACTAAAGGTCTCAAAATGAGATACCTTAAAGCTAATAATGTGAAAAATTCTCTGGAGTGTGTTTGCCAGAAGGTGGTTGTTACTACAAGTAAGTGCTGGATTTTAAATTTAGGTTTTTTTCTTTTAAATTTTCCTCTAGCATATTCAATTCAGGGACAGAATGTTCAAATGATCAGTCCCTCAAGCGAGTCTCATCAGCAAGTTGTAGCAGTAGGGCAACCCTTAGCTCTTCAGCCCCAGGGAACAGTAATGGTAAGTACAACTTGTAAGTGATCTCATCCTGCTTATCTGCTTTTTTCTGCATCTCAATGTGTCTCAAAAATAGGCAACAGATAAACAGCATTCTTAAAATAATAGTTATCTCAAATATTATCCTAAGCTTTTAATTTGGAACATCCCTGGACAGCAAAGTTCTCTAACTGTAAAGAAGACTTACTCTTGTTTTTTGTCTGAGGCACAGCTCAGCAGCTCACATCCATTCCATCTGAAAAACCCTACATCTCAGTTCTGTTATGTGCCTGTGTGTGAAGGTTCACTTACATGTTTTTTTAAGATTGGCTCTGATTTTGTGGAGAAGATGCACTTAAAGCTGGAGTAGTTGAACTTGTATCTTTGATAAGGTGTAACTGGGAAGAGAGGGCAGTGAGATCAAATCGTGTTCAGCCGCAGCAAGATAAGACTGAGAGAAGGAGAGATACTCAGCTACTTCTCTAAAAAAAATACATTGCACCAGCGCAAAAAAAAAAAAAAAAAAAAAAAAAATCTTTAAGCTATTGAGTAAAAAAATAGCAAGTTTCCTAGAAAACACTATTACTGTAGAATAATAAAAATTGTCTGGTTGGTTTTTTTTGTTGTTGGATTTTTTTTTTTTTAGCTGACTTCAAAAAATATCCAGTGTATGAGAACATTACTCAACTTGGCTCACTGCCACGGAGCCGTTCTTGGTACATCATGGCAACTTGTCCTGGCTACTCTTCAGGTATAATAGGAAATATTTATGCCTTGCTTTTTTTTCATAATTTGGTTTTCAGTTTTGATTCTATTCATGGTGTACTTTGAAGTGCATTGAGTAAGTACTGTATCACTTCCCTTGAATTTGATTTGGCTGGAAGGCTGCTCTCTAGCCTAAGTACAGTGTTAGTTTTTTCTCTGCCTGAAAAGATTTTTTTGCTGAAAATGATGATCCTTTTGTATTTCAGCATCTTGTGTGGATTCTGGGACTGAAGCCTGGTGTTGGGGGTGCATTAAAACCTGGAAGAGCTGTTGAAGGGCCTAGCACAGTAAGTATGATTGTTCATTTTACAATTAGTGATTATGGAGTATTCTCTATTGCAATCTATAAGACACATTTCTGTCTCTTTTTCAAGGTTCTGACTACAGCAGTTATGACTGATCTGCCAGTTATATCCAACATACTTTCAAGGCTTTTTGAAAGCTCACAGTAAGAAACCTTATCTTGTAATTAGAATAATGTATGTATATCAAACTTGGCAGTGTTTTGATAGCTATTATTTTTCAGGTACCTTGACGATGTGTCTTTACATCACTTAATAAACGCTCTTTGCTCCTTGTCTCTGGAAGCCATGGATATGGCCTATGGAAACAATAAGGTATGAAACGAGTTATTTATTTTCTTTTTAGATGTTTTTGTGAAACAGGGAGGAGACTTGTACACTTATCCTTTAAGCTAACTGTTTCTAATATTAAGATAGTAATACGTTTGATATTCTAGAGTAAAAAATAAATTATGAACCAGAACCTGTCTTGTTTATAACTCTTCATATGGTTACTAAGTTCTCTGAGCATTCTCGTTGTGTTCTTGCTATGTTTTTTGTTAACTACGGATTGTCATGTGTTTCCATTAATCAGATTGTGGGTGGATAAAACTTTCAAAAGCCCCTCTAATTTCAGAGGTTAGGGATTCTGAATAGCACAGTATGTTCTGTCATTTTCATTTCAGTTTTTCTTTTATAATATACTTCAGAAAAAGCCTCACAATTTAGATGTTAAAAAACCCCTGGTAGTTCATATTTACTTGGGAAAATGATAGTATTCCTGTCAGCCTCAGAAAACACCCTTTAGCCCAGAAAGGTTAAAGAACTTGTGGTTGTGTAAGATTGAGTATATATTCTTCTAGTTATAATCTAATCCCAGAGGAGAATTTCTGAAAGTTTTTCCTTGATCTGTTATGCTAGAGATAATGATGACAGCAAATATGCTTTGTAATATTTGACAATTACAGCAACAGACATTGAATTAGAATAAGCGAAGTTTGTGTTTAAAATCAGTTGAAAATGAGACTAAAAAATCAGCAGAAATAGGAACATAGAATAATTCCAGGACAACAGTCATTTTGACTATAAAAAAAGAAAAGAAAAATAAGTTTATCACAAATATTTGCATATGTATTTGATGAATGGGAAACTTGTAATATTCCTGAGGGACGTTTATGAAGCTGATGGAAGGCAAAGCATAAGGGGATTCTTAAATTGTATGTTCTATATTGTTTGTTCATATATAAATTTAACTTTAAAAGTTGTGATGGGAAAATGTTATTTTGCTAGTAAAATGGGTTATAAAACTGGTTAGTGGGAGGACTATATAAAAATGAGAGTTTTGAAAGGAGTATTAGTGCTCTAGTGATTGTCAAACTTGGAGAAAACTATGTGAAAAATTATGAAAAAGTGTTCTTCATGATGTGCTGTTGCTACCCCCTTGTGGCTTCTCTGGAAGTACTGCAGACGCTGGAGAAACAGCAGCTGTGCTACCTAAGCTGTTGTGACAGCGTTCACAGCCTGTGAAACAGTACTTCAATGAGATTAAGTTGCACCTTAATTTATAAATTATAATGTAGCAAGGGCTCTGACATTGTCTGAGTTACCTCAAAGTCATGTACTCAAATTCCATTTTATTAAGGAACCATCGCTTTTTGCTGTTGCTAAATTACTGGAAACGGGACTAGTTAACATGCACAGGATTGAGATTCTTTGGAGACCTCTGACCGGTCATCTTCTGGAGGTAACAAATTGCTTTTATCAGTTGTAGTAGAACATAGTTTGTATTAATAAAGATCTCGTAGAAGTGCATTTTAAAATTTAATTTAAAAAAATATCTAAATTATAGTTACATATTCTGGTTTATGCACTTTTTCTTTAACTTGGATACATCACAATTTGCATTTAAAAGTGGTTTTATGTATTTAAATTCCGGTATTTTAATATCTCTTATTGACTTTTTATGGTGCCATCAGTCTTTATATATTTTAAACATGACAGTATTTAAAGTGATTAATTTATTATACTTCATTTTTGTGTTATAATTAGGGTAACACAAACAGGTTTAACTTTGGATTCACGTAGTATGAGTATCTAGGAAGATTTTAAGATAATGTTTTTGTGTCCTTACCAGACAGATTGAAGCCATTAGATTTATTAACAAAGGGTTGGTTTGTTTGTTTTAAAAATGTTTAAGCTAACATTTTGAATGGTCTACTTAAGAGAATACTGTAAAAATATAAAAATAGGTGTCATAATCCTATTTCAGTTTCTTAAGTATTTTAACTTCAACATGAAAAATATGCTCCATCAAGGAAAAAAATCTTAAATTTTGAATTTGAAACTAAAAAGAGGTGACTAAATGTAATTGTAAAGTTTTAATTCTCTACAGAGATACGTAGAAGAGTGAAATGCAAGAACAAGGTTCTGTTTAAAGTGGGTAAAGGAGAAAGCTTTTCTTACTAATTTTTCAGAAAGTATCAGTCGCTTCCTTAGACCCAGTGCATTATTTCAAACAGTATTAAGGATTGCCTGTCTCCGACTTTATTTATGGAACTCATCTCCACATAAACTTTTATCTAGGAGAAGAAATTTGAATACCTAGGGATTTAAAGACTTAAAGCACAAGCTTCTCTTTCTCTTGTCTTTTTTTTCCCCTCCAAGACGATAAGGCTCACTATCCACATATTGAGACTGTGTTTTAATTCAGTAAGCAGTCTATTTCAGTCTGTAATCCATTGTGGGTATTTGCCACTGTTTTGTAGGAAACACACAGCCTATTTCAATTTCTTTTAAAGTATTGCCTTACTTCCTTCTAAACCTAAGTTGTCAAGGTGTAGTAAGGAAGGAGAAAACACCACCTGCAGATTGAATTAAACGCAACCTAAGAGAAGAATTTGTTCCGTGTCTCTGGAACTGTTTATCTGGTCAGATTCTCAGCATCATGAAGTGGTTAAAATTCTCTCTTTCTTTATATAAGATAACAAAAATATGAGTAATTTGGGAGAATAGTTATTTCTTGTCTGCATGTTTTAACATTAAGCTAGCTCTTTTGCATCATCCTCCTTTTTGGTTTGGCTAGTGGCTGATAAGGGAGTGGTCCACCAACCAAAACCATCATCCTTCCTTATGATCTTGCCTTGGACTTTGATTCTGGATTCTCACACCATCTGCGCTACGGCTGGAAGGGCAGGTGGAAATTACTATGTAGAGGTCAATTAAACTGTAGACTTAACCTTATTTGTTTGAGGTTAATGTATCAGATATAGGAGTACAGTTCATACCAGGTGTCTATGCAATGGATTTGCACAATGTTATTAATTTTTCTGTTCTTAAAAAAGCAAGTAGCAAAACTATTAGGTTTAGATAGTGAGGAGACAAAGAGAAATGAATACACACATTTGAAACTTAAGCCTGAAATAGTGTTCGCTATTGTTTTCTCAAGTTTTTAAAACAATGGAGTTTAAGGCTTATTTTACATTCACCATGTAGTTAATTTTTGTATTTGAGAATATAGAAGAGCAGACACTTTCTGTGTTGGGCTTCCTTGCTTGATTTTGTTAACCAGTGCATGAAAGGTGAAACTTTGAATTTTATAGTTAAAGCTAAGGTAAATGTGAGAGTTTCAGGCATTCATTGAAGAGTTGTTTGGTGCTTTTTAATCAATCTTTATCGTAATTAGCAGTTACTATGTTCATTTTGGAAAATGTATTGGCTTGAACTGTTCTGGTTTTCATTATGTTTCCTTCTCTGTCTTTCACTGCTTCCTATTGCTTCCTTATTCAGAAGGTATGTCTGTCCAAAAGATAAACATTTTTTTTACTATTAAACTTAATTTTATCATCTAGAGATGTATTGTATTGTTGTGAAAAAAAAAAAAAATATAATGTGGTATGTAAATTCTGCTATAATTAAAATACTTTATACAGTTTTTGTATATTACTTCTATTCAAATCTTGGTTAAATAAAAGTGACTTTAAACAAAACATTGCTGTGTTTTCAGGTCTGTCAGCATCCAAACTCCAGAATGAGAGAATGGGGAGCAGAAGCTTTAACTTCTCTTATTAAAGCAGGACTGACGTTCAGCCATGATCCTCCGTTATCTCAAAATCAGGTAAAGTAAGTTTAAGAGGCTGCCTTCCTCCTTCTCTGGAACTTAAAATGAGCATGAAATCAAAATCTTCCCTAGAGGAAGTTTTTTACAGGTCAATAAGTAGGATGTATTCATAAAGCAACTTTGCTACTGAGTTTATAAAGCCAACAGCTGTAACATTCAGATGTAACTATTGAGAATCACTTCATGCATTCTAATGAACTACCCTCCTTCCTTTTTCAAATGTGTAACAAAGAGAAGTGATGCTTGTGTATTATGTCCGTTTGTTGAAACAAATTATGGATCATCCTCACGAGTGCAAAACAATTCCAGACTGTTTAGAAGTATGTATGTGATGTGGTGGCAGGTAAAAATTAGATTGCCTAATCTTCTAATTAGCTGTGGTTGAAATCACAGCTTTCAATCCATTATTAATGGAACATTCTAATATTTTTATTGAGATTCAGTGTGTAGTTTCACCAAGGTCTCTTTAGTAGGAAGCTAAGTCTAGCCCTGCTGGGTGAGCCTAAAGTTGCATGATGGTTTTTATTCAACGGTGACAGCATGCTGTGGCTAATTCCTGAGGGACCTGGAGAAGAGGTGCAGGGTCAGGAGGAAGTAGATATCCTGCTGAGATCCTTTATAAACAGTTTTTTAGAAAAGCCAGTCGGGCACTGGATTTGAACATTGAATGCATGAGTTACTGAAATCATTTAATGAATATTCAATTGGTACTGTATGTTTTCACTTACACATAAAAATAATAAAGGATTAGTTACATTTTAGCAACCTTAATATACTTTATTGTTTACTTTTAGAGACTGCAGTTGCTTTTATTGAATCCACTAAAGGAACTGTCAAACATTAGTCATCCTGATATCAGGATCAAGCAGTTGGAATGTGTGCTACAGATTTTGCAAAGTCAGGGTGACAGCTTGGGACCTGGTTGGCCGTTGGTGCTCGGAGTCATGGGGGCAATCCGAAGTGATCAGGGGTAAGTTGTGGAAATAAAATCTAAAAATAATACAAGATAAGAAGAGTAGAAAGAATTCTGCTTTTATTTTCTTACTTTAATAACCGTTTTGATAATAGCCATAATTTTCGTTGTCATTTTTAGTTTATGAACAATTTTACTCAACAAAAATACAGTTTTAAATTTTTCCTATAGCACACTTTCATTTTACTCAGTTAGTCATTCTGAAGACCAGAGTATTGTTCCACTCTCTAACCTCTCCTGTGATCAGCACGCAGTATACACTGAGGTACTCCGTGTGGCAATTCGTTTGATCTTAACCATCTGCTGGACACATCTCTGGTGCTTGCAGATAATTTATAACTTAGCTGTTGCTCACAGCTCCTCTGTTATTTCTTTTTCTTCTTAGCTCTTTGGGTAGTCTCTAGTGTGTGTCATCTTCTGAATGCTCTCTTTTTGTTGAAACCTTCCTTCGTAAATGGCTGCTGGTAGCACAAAGATAGAAGATTATTTACTTGCTGTGGGTGAATCCCTTGACTGACTAACACAGCTGACTGTTGCCAACAGAGGGGGAATGTTACTGGACTGGTCCTCTTGCCACAAGGGAAAGTGAGAGGTGAAGTTGCAAGGAGTTTTTGGGTTTTTTTTTTTAAATGAGCAGTGAAATGAACATCTGGCCTTGGAACCGTAAGCACTAAGTACTACACTCATAAACTTAGACCATATTATTCCTTCTTTGGTGCTAGTCAAGACTAGCACCAGGATAGGTCAGCAAATAACTCTGGTCTCAGAAGGATTCACCTTGGCATATCTCTCCTTTTGCCACACCTTAGCTTCTGTCTTCTGGCCATATGAAGAGCTCCTGAAGCCCCTTCAAATGCTTGAAGGATTTTGCTCTTGTACCAGTATTGCTTGTTCTGGCAGCAGTACTCGCCAAAATCCCCAAGGATGTTGGCATACTTGGTGCAATGTGTTGTGTGGTTCCTGCATACCTTTTGATTTTCACTGTAGTTTTTGGTAGATGAGAACCAACACAGATTCCTTCTCAAAACAGTCTTCAGACCCTTTTACATCTCAAACCCATACCTCAAGGTGTTGCTAAGATCTTGTGATATATTTTAGACTCCTCCTACAAAGCATAATCTACTTTTCTTCAATTACATATCACTGTTTGCCCACATCATATGAACTACAGTAGGAAAAAAATGAAGCAAGACTCCTTTTCCTTGGGAAACAACTGAATTTCTTGCCTCATATATAGTTGTGAGCACAAGATGCAGACACTATTATCATACTTTAACTATAAACTTACTGACCATGAGACTTTATTCAAAAGTGCCTTCCCTCTGGTCAGTGAACATCCTGGATTCCAGGACAGAAATCCATTTACCTTCCAGGAGAACTTCTTGCCAGGCTGCTATAAATACAGAAGATTCTGTTTTGAGAGCCAGTTATACTTCGGTCACTTCTTGATTGTATGGTAATAGCCTGCCAAACAAAAAGAAGTCAGTCTGTGAAGAATTTTAAAATAGGATGCCCCTGCTCATTTTAGGGCTAGATAAAGCCCTATATGATCTTCAGTTTTCAAGCTAAGCTTCAGTTTCTAGCATTTATATTTACCTTTATGATGGCCACTTATAACATTAAGGACAAATTTACATTTTGAAGAGCTGTATGGCTGTTGGCCTTTTGCATGAAGGACTTTGAAATCTTTCTCCAAACACATAGTAGTGTGGGACATTAATTGGGAAATTCACTGTTTTGAATTTGTTCTAGCAACTTCACATTTGAAGATTAGAAAGAGATTACTTTCCTATTAACTCAGCTCTTCAAAATGAGTAGTGTAACTGTACTTTCATTTCCTGAATCTTTCCCTTCTCTCTTAGAGCTCTTGTAAGTCACATACCTCTGGCACTTCGTGAAGGAGAAGGAACTGCAGCAGTTTGGGGTGTGTTTCACTTAATAGGCTCCTGTAACAAATATGGGGGAAAATAGTGTGTGAGCGTTTCCTCCATGAGTATAGCAATGAAAAATCCTTTGATCTTACGTGGTTGGATGGATGTCTCTCTGTAATATGCATCATATTAGAGAATTATTAGTTACACCATTATTGTCCATGTGAAGTTTCTTGTTCATTCCTCTGGCTTCCATATCATGTTGGCTGTTATGATACAGTGGAAATGGCCCACCTTTTATTTTCATTTTGAATTAATTGAGAAAAAAAAAAAAAAGATTTAGGATTCTGAAATATGTAACTGACATATCTGTGTGCTGAATTTTTTCCTGGAATATGTATTCTGAAGTACACTTAAGTTCCTGTATTACAAACCTTTGGAATTTTTTTCTTTTGTACATTAAACATTAACAAAAAAAATAAAGTGAAATGTAAATGCAGCTTCTCTATTTCATATTATCTGCATTCCACCACTCCTTTTGATTCCTTCATTTTGTCTCTCACTAAACAAGGTTTTAGTTATAGATGGCCTTGCTGCTTCTGAAAGCTCCTTCTCACAAACCTTTTCCATATTACATTTTTATTTTATGTTTGTATTCAGAATTTAATTCTGAAAGCAAAGTATTCATTAAAGATCTATTTAATAGCAGATATTTTGAAAAAAAAAATTGTCTAACATAATATAGTATAGAAGCAAGTAAGACTACCATTATGTTACTGTGCATCTTCCCTAATAAATAAAAATATGTTTTGCCCACCTGTTTGGCATACTTAAGTAAATTGAAACTACAGATACAAGAAATTGTTCAGAGCAGCTTGCTTTTTGGAAGATTATCGTACTCCAACTTAAGCTTTGTTTTGTTCCTCGTGGCTTTTTTAGAATGTTTTAGCTGACACATTTGAACTAATAAGTCCTAGAACTCTGGAGCAGAGGAGTGGACTTTACTATATAAAACTAGCTGAGGACCACTGGAGAGGCTAAACTTCAACTTCACTAGCTAGTTAATATGGACTAAAATATTTAATCAGAATTTGAAGCTTCAACTTCATGTTATATCTCAAAAAGTGGTCTAGTTGAAACATTTAAAATGTTGCAAACTCATCTCAAAAACATTAAATGTATTTTTTTCTTTATTTTTTATAATGCTATCTTCTGAGGTATTGAATTCAAAACATTCCTGTGCTCTTGAAGAAATTTGAAATGAGTGTATGCATGTTTTGTTTTTTTAAGAGAGTCCTTAATACGGACTGCGTTCCAGTGTCTTCAGTTGGTTGTGACAGACTTTCTTCCAACAATGCCATGTACTTGTCTGCAGATAGTTGTTGAAGTTGCAGGAAGCTTTGGACTTCACAACCAAGAGCTAAATATTAGCTTAACTTCAATTGGTTTGTTGGTGAGTTTTATATTAACTTACAGTGATTCTGCTTCCGGCTTTTCCCCCACTTTCCCTGCTCCCCCCTTCCCCCCCCC